TGACCAATGAAAGCAAAATTGAGTTGAAAGCACATAACTCTGCACTGTGAGTGAATTCTGGGCAGTAACAGTGCGCCAGAAGCTCTGTAGCTCCGTGGAAAGCAAATAACAGCACCTAAGTTCAGTAACAAGTGCGTGCTCAACTCAAAACCCTGAGGAAAATTGTGTCGCAGTAGCGACAAGCATGTTATCTCTTTGGCTGGCATTTCAGTGCGCCCATTGGCAGACAGCCTGCCAGAGTAATCGAAGGCGCCGTTACTTCTTGCAATTGGGTATGTTTAACACAAGCCAAGCTGGCAGGGTAGCACCGCCTGTGGGACGACCCAAGTTATGGGCCAGAGCGTGAGAGGCTGAAGTGCCCCAGAATTTGCCCCAGAATCTACGGATAGAGGAGGGGCCTGGCACTTTCAAGTGCTGGCCTAAGCAAATACGATGTAAGGAAAATACGCCCAACTTCACACAAACCTGGGGTTGCAAAACAAAGGTTGCAATAACAAAGGTTACAAAGGTTACAACGTCAAAAATATGAGGGTTGAGGGCCCATTTAGGGCGATCCCACTTCCCGAATGTCGACGTAGAATCGGCTCTGTTCTCTGCTACAAGTTGAATGATCACAGTGCCCATAGTGAAGTCGGCAGGAGGACTTAATTTCCGTCCGAACGTCTGTCGATTGAGTTTTCGACCAAGGTACACCAAGTCCCCGCCAACTTAACTAGGGACAATTTTACCCCCCTGTGTATTCGTTTTTTATCTACCCGACTGTGGGTTGTTTCAAACAATTTGGTTTTAAGGAAAGAAGGACAGGGACTGCGCACATGAGTCAGCGGAAAAACGAAGAAAATACGTGGTCGCAGCGGAGGATTCACTCTTTGCGTTGCGGCCTGAACGTCAGATGGGGTAACAGCGAAATTATACAATGCCTAGGGGGGAAAGATCAGAAAGGGGTCCCGGAGTAGCAGTAAAGTGGCCGAATTGGGGCCTTGTGATTCGGGCCTCTATTACGTAGCCCCGAAGCAACCAACACAACTGGGCAGTTAGGCCGAGCCTGGCCTTCTCGCCAGGTCACCACCTACTGGCCTGGGGTTGACGGAATTCGCTAGTGACCCGTCATCGATAATTACCCAGAAAAAGATCTGTTTAACCCCAAATATTCAACATCGCAATGGTACAAAAAATAAACCCCATTCGGATGGCATATAATTGGGGAAGCATCAACCCAAAACACCGCGCGGCAGATGTTTAGGGCTGAGGCCCCTTCGAAGGCATGACGCAGGAGAGGATAATTCGTCAATTTTTATATGTCGAGTCAAAAAATTCTTTGTCGTCATGTAATAATTCGTCACACTGTGTGGTTAGGTCTGACGGAGCGCGTGGATGAGGCTCGAAATTGATTGGGCACAGGTCCGGCCCAGGTTCCACTCCTTGCGAGACACAAGGCCCCAAGTCGGCGGGTTTTCTAGAGCTATGGGGCCCCAATCTGATCATTTCCCATGTCTAGGTTAGCCTCTAGTTCGTGGGTGTCTTATCTCCAAAGCCAACAACGGTTCAAATGGGTTTTAACCCAAAACTGACGGGATGTGAAATTGGCGCGGGCTAGGTGTATGGATTTGGCTCCAGCCTTTTTGCAGACGTACTTTGCCAATTTGTATACAAATGATGCTCGTTTGGCGCACCCAACTTTGCCTTGTGTTTTGGGCTCATAAGTGGTTTTTGCATTTCGCTAAGGTTTCGTCAATTCGCACCTAACAAAATGGGCTTATAAAAAGCAGGTGTAACTCATCGTTGACTTTTTGACTTCAGTCTTTCAGTCAAACCTCGGTTTCTGTTGTTAGTATTGGCTGGTTTAGGTGGCAACTTGTTCGAGGTGCTTGTAAATGGGGTGCAGCTTCACGGCACAAAACCAACCGGGTGCAAGGTTTCCATCCGGTGCAAGGCAAATTCGCATGCAGGAGGTGAGCATCATCTGTATTGATGAAACACTCAATGGAAGTACTGTAATGACGAACCCAAAAAGATACAGGAGTGACACGTGACTCGAGAACATTCAGGATGAGTTGAGAGCATTGTGTGGTGTGGACTTGTTTTTGGCCTTGCTCGACAAACTCAGTACGTGTCCGTAGTAATGACATGTCAACAAAGTTGTGTCAGCCCGAAGCGCACTCAGCTTGAAGCGTCAATCACCTTGTCAAGTCGAAGCGCATGTACGAACATCAGCGGCGCAATGTCATTGGTATAACACCAATCCCGCGAATTAATTCGGCACTGAGAGACTGCTAGAAGGTGACGGTGGGTGATGATTGGGCAATATCAGGTCGTCGGATAGGATGTTGCGACGAAATTCGCTCGTTAATAGGTGCGAGTGTGTCAACGTCGAAATTGTCCGACGCTTTTTATTGGTTGACAGCGTGCGAGTTTTTGACACTCTGCCAACAATGTTGACGAGTGTCAAGAAGGCTAATTGACACTGCCAATTTTGACATGTCAATACTACGGACATATACTCAGACACGTTTTGCCCCCTCTTGTGCGACATCACTACACCCTGTTTCGCGCCACACTGACATTCGCTGTATTGACATACCGTCTATTCTGACATCAACGCGTCCAAAAAGGTCCCAGAACATTGCATATAAGCACAATTTGCCGCACTCAACCGTACGCGATAGCAATGTTCTGTCATAAAACGTTTTGTATCGTTTAAATGGACTGCATTTGCCCGCCACCTACATGGGGCTCGGCTGCAAGCACCAGCCCGCAAAATCCAAGCGCATGTTCGCACTGTAGCCCGGGCTCCCGATTGTCAGAACTTTGAGAAACAGGGGTGTACCCTACTCAGAACGAACTGGAAGGGCAAGCAGGTGGATGTCCAACGAACTTCCTCCACTTTCGAACAGCTGGGCAAGAAGGTACATCTGTTTGTCTTTCTTGGTTTTCGAACCTCGACAGCCTGGACTAGGATGGCATGTGTGGGTCAGTTGACAAGGTCTGATGCTCAACGCCGTCTGCGGCGGATCGCATTCCAGTTTGGTTTTTTTAGCGAATATGGCATACCCATCCCACGTGTGGTGGCAAACTCCCCTTGCTTTGCTTTGTTCACCTCCCTCCACCTTACCACCGGCCCAACGAACGGAGGCATCGCTCCATCCGTCCCCCGTGTTTCACGGTGCCGGATTTCCATTTCTCCCACGTGGGAGGCACCCCGCATGAAGCGCTTAATGAGTCTGTCTGTACACACCAAGCCCCCCAGTGCTTCCGCGCATGGTGGGCTGCATCACCAGGTCGAACAAGGTGCCTTGGGCATGGTCAAACTCAACTGCAGCAAAACCTTCATCCAGTGGACAGCTCAACTTTCTAGATAGCTCGTGGATGCCCTACCCAACCCTAAAAATTGTCCGCAGCTCTAGTGGGATGTGCCGGGTGACGCGAATTCCCTGGCGCCGTTCCCGAGAGTTTTACCCCACCGTGCAAGGCCCACTCAAGCGCGAAGGTCCGACCTACTATACGATACTGTTTTGACAGCCCTGATTACATCATGCAAGTAGGCGTGTTCGACTCGAACTTGGTCCATTATAAAGTTGTACTACTGCTAGCACCACTGGCTGTGCCGCATAGTAGTACTATTAATTGGCTGACGCTGGCGCAGACTCTACTACCAGAAAATACTCACCATTCTGATAGTTCTGCTCGTAATTGTACTATCGGCGCTGCTCGTCGGCCTGGGGACGCCGCGCCGCGCTGCGAATTCTGGAAAATATGATGCAAGCACTTTCAATCCGGCGCTCCCGCGCTTGCAACTAGTATAGTTAAGTTTATGCTTCTAGCTCGCCGCCGCTGTGATGGACAATCACCCTGTGATGAGCCGGCATCATGATGATCATGGTGTAGTAGTAGTACCAGCAGCCGTCACCGCCACGACGATGATAGTACATTGTGACCTTCGTGATCTTCACAATGAAGAGCATGTGGATGAGCCTGTGCCGCGGCACGGATCTGCGGCTGCTCCCGTTGCTGGTGTTGTGTCTGGCAGAAGGCTTGAGGGCCAATACTCACTGCAAATTAACGGGCACAGCCATCATCCGGCGTGTCACCTTCCATTGCCTGAATCTCCCAGTAACATCACTCCTACTGGCGGCACAGTCGCCGCCACAACTCCTATTCCCACACCTCCGACTCCAGCAACTCCCACCACCACCACTATCAGCTATCCTAAACCAGTTTCGTCAGAACAAGCTGCTGATGATGATGGTGATGGTGATGGTGATGGTGTTGATGGTGACGCTGATCATGGTGGTGCTGACGATGGTGAGTTGGAGGAGGCCGTCAGTCGCACTGCACGGATTCAGCAGATCGTTAACTCGGACGGCTTCAATTGGCTCAAATACGGCGAAAAGCGCGCCTCGGCATCTCGGTCAACCATAAGGTACGGAGCGGCGCTGGTCGTTGGCCGTGGCAGTAGCATCACCAGCATTGGCAGCACCAGCAACACACAAGCGCCAAAGCAGCATGCAGCAGGCTGGGTATCGACAACACAACTTGGCCAATTTCTCTTTCGTTATGATCACACCTTTTGCCACCCTCTCACTCGCCCTCACCTTCTCACCCTCTCAAACCTCACCCTGTCCCCTTGTTCCCCTCTGTATCCCTGTCTCCCCTCATCGCCCGTCACCTCCCGGGTCGCCCTGACGTCCCGTGGCAGGGCGTACTACAAGTGCGTGTGGTCGCGAGCCGAATCCTCCCCGTGCCGGGCGTGCAAAGTAGTGGAGATCGACCCGTCCAGCAAGGTCACTCCCAGTACACTGCATACTCGTTACATGTACACCCACAACCACGAAACCCCGGGCCAGTGTCCCCGCAAGTTGCGAAGAAAACCGAAAAAAAGCCTGGCCTCTAAGAACTATCATCTTACTCATCCAGGTAGCTCCACAGCTGCCAGCAAACGTGGCAATAGGAGCAACTGGTGCACCGGCTCTGAGGGTAGTGCACACACCAACACCACCACTATGAGTCATAATAATGCTGTCTGGAGCAGCGCCATGGCAGCTGGAGCAGTGAAAGAGGAGAAGCTCGAAGTGGGGCCGCCACCTTATCGTGAGGCCACCCCCATGGCGCTCGTTCCTCGAAGGATTTTGCCTGCGCCTGCTGCTATGACTGGAACTGGTACCACCTGTGGTTTCCTCCAATCGGGAGGTCATGCACCGAGTGCCAGTGCCTCTCCCAATGGCCGTGGCGGCATAATTGTTGACAACCGGATGTTGCTGGGAAGAACAACTGCTTCTGCGTCTGCTGCGTTAGCTGCTGCTGCTGCTGCTGCTGCTGCTGCTGCTGCTGCTCCTGCTTCTGCTGCTTCTGTTGCTGTTACTGATGCTCCGGCTACTGCTGCTGCTGCTGCCCGCGCTGGACTCTGCAGTCTTCAAGGTGCTGCGGCAGCACTACTTTCCAGCGAGAACAGTGGCAGAGGTGGTGGCAAGAGTGGGAGAGGCGGCGGCAAGATTGGCAGAGGCGGCGACAAGACTGGCAGAGGCAGCGACAAGGGTAGCCGAGGCGGTGACAAATCCTGTGGTCTTCTAAACCCCACGGCATCGCAGCCTTCGGGGATGCAGCTTGTGCCCATGCAGCATCATCCAGTAAACACTGGTCTTGCCGCTTCAGCTGGCATTCAGGTTGCTGCTACAGCCGGCACTGAGTGTGCCACTGCAGCCAGCATTGTGCAGGCTCTTCTCCTCTCTGGAAGTCCATGCAGCAGGGCAGACTTACTGCCAGGGGTGTTGCTGCCAGGAGAGCCTCTCTGGCCAGCTGTGTCTCCCTCTGGGGCTCCTGTGCTGCACTCTCTGCCTCTGGATTCTGCAGGTAGCAGTGGCACCAGCACAAGTAACAGCACCAGCAGCAGCAGCAGCAGCAGTAACAGCAGGAACGTGTTTGGCAGCAGCTATTGCATGCTGGCGGGAAGTGTGCCCAGTGGAAGCATCAACAGCAGCTTCTGTGGTGCTGGGAAGGGTGGTGCTGACAGCGGTGGTGGTGATGGTGGCGGTAATGGCGGCGGTAATGGTGGTGGTAGTGGTGGCGGTGGTATGGGCAACGGGAGAAGCAGCGGGGCTGTCGATGCCTATCTCTCTGAAAGCAGCAGCCTCCAACGCAACCCTGTCGCTCTTGCGTCTCCCACTTCTTTGGTCGCTCCGGCAGCGTGCACCCCCAGGGCGCAGAGCCGCCGTCCCTTCCGAGTGCCCAGAAGCATGGCTGGCGCTGCCATAACTGCTGCCTCTGCACTTGCCGCCTCTGCGCTTGGTGCTCCTGCTGCTGCTCCAGGATCTACCACCTCTGCACCATATAGCACTGCTGGAGCCATAGAAATTTCTTCTGCTTATGCTGCTGCTTCTGCTGCTGCTGCTGCTGCTTCTGTTGCTGGTACTGCTGCCTCGCCTGCTGCGTGTACGGTTCGGCCCGTTTTCCTGCCGTCCACTCTGACGCTGCTGTCGGACGTGCCAAGGGGAGCAGCAGCGTTGGATGCAGCTGTACTGGAGGTGCTGCTCGCTCAGCCGGCTCATTCTCATGCCGCTGCCTCCGTCCTTGCCGCTGCCCTCATGTCTGCTGTCAAAGCGTCTCCTCCTCCTGCTGTTGCTTCTTCTGCTGCTGCTCCTGCTTCTCCTCCTGCTGTTGCTGCTTCTGCTGCTGCTCCAGCTTCTCCTCCTGCTGTTGCTGCTTCTACTGCTGCCCCTGCTTCCCCTCCTGCTGTTGCTCCTCCTGCTGCTACTGCTGCTTCTGCTGCTGCTCCTGCGTCCCCTCCTGCTGTTGCTCCTCCTGCTGTTGCTCCTCCTGCTGCTCCTCCCGCCTGTCCTTCAGCAAGCCACTGCACACCTGCTTGCTTCCAAGCCAGTCCTATGCACGTCACGCTGGAGGAGTGTGCCATTCCCGGCTCCGATCCTCCCTTTGAGGCCCCTATCAGAGGCATTCTTGCCAACATCCAGAAGCAGACCCCACATCTTGCCCTTTCCCCTCCCATAAGGCCCTGCGCTGCTCCTGCTGCTCCCCCTGCGCCTGCTCCTGCTGCACCTGCTGCTACTGCTTCTGCTGTTCCTGCTGCCGCTGCTGTAGACACGGTTCTCACTACACTTGATCACGAGGCTATTGCAACAGCTTCTGATGCTGGTGAAGCAGCTGGAATGGGGTCGGCTGCAGTCAATAACAATGCCAAGGCTGCTGCCTCTGCTAATGTCGCCAGGGCTGCAAATAAGGCGGCAGCGGCAGCAGGAGCAGCAGCAGCAGCAGCAGCAGCAGCTGACGCAGCAGGAGCAGCAGGAGCAGCAGCAGCGGCGGCAGACGCAGCAGGAGCTTACACCATCGCTGCTGTCCCTGCTGGGGCCATTGGTGTCACCCCTGAGTCAGCAGCGGCGTTTGCAGATCCTGAAATGGGAGCTGAGTTGGGCACAGACGAGCAGGATGCCAAGCAAAGTATGGCGTCACTATCAGGGCGGGATAGTGCTGAAGAGATTGCAGAGCACATGGGTGGCGTAGCAGCAGATTCAGAAGGAACGGAATGCGTTGCAGCAGCAGCAGCAGCAGCAGCAGAGGCTACGGAGTGGATGAATCTAATGCAAGTCATGGATGTGGATAGCTCGCCTGCTGGGGCGCCACATATCCATCATGGCCACTCCAGCAACCCTTTCCATAACCCTCTCTGTAGCCTTCCCAGCACATCTTTCAGCAATCCTCTCAGCTCCGGCCCCAGCAACCAGACAGGAATGGAGAGTCTTGGAGGGGCACTAGGGGTTTTGGAAGAAATTCCGTTCAACGTCTCAGGATTTTCTGGTGATTTTGCTGGACACACCAACAACAGCGCATCAGATTTTTCGCTCCTGCCCTGGGAGTTTCAGCTCTGGGACTCAACAGAAGCACTGCTTGTGAATGGCGCCCCTAACCTTGGCACTCCTGCTGGTGCAGCTGCTCCTGCTGCTGCCGCTGCTGCTGCTGCTGCTGATGCTGCTGATGCTGCTGCTGATGCTGCTGCTGATGCTGCTGATGCTCTTGCTCTTGCTGCTGCCCCTGCTGCTGCTGTGTGTGCTGGTATTATTGTTGCAGAGACCCACTCGCTTGCAGCTGTTGTAGGTCAGAAGCAAGGAGATCTTGCCTGTTCTGTGACAGGACACCAGGAGCAACTGCAGCAGAAGCTGCAGCAGCGGCAAAATCAAGGGCATATCCAGGAGTCAAGTGTCTGGAGATCACAGGTAATGTGCATTACCAGCAATGCCAGCATAGTCAGCCGCAATATCAGCATTGCCAGTAGTGCTAGCGCCGTCAGCAGTGTTAGTGTTGTCAGCAGTGCTAGTGTTGTCAGCAGTGCTAGTCCTGTTCTCATTCGTCTTGTTTTTGTTTCAACACCACTCCACCACATAACATTCAGCTCTCTTCTTTGTCTGAATCTGCAGGGAACAACAGCAATGGCTGCTGCAAGGACTGGCTTTGACAGCCATAACCGCACCTGTCACCCCTCATCAATGCCCTCTCATGCAACGACTTCTCTTGCTGGTGCTTTTTCCCATCCGCCTGGTTCCACTACCCCTGGTCCTGCCACTGGTGCTGTCCCTTCTCTCCACAATGATGGCTTTGGCTCTTTTTTTAGCAGTGCTCCTGCTTCTCCCACTGTTACTGCTTCTGCTGGTTCTGCTGGTAATGCTGCTGCTGCCCTTTACCCCCCAATTCATACTGCTTCCACCGCTGCTGTTGCTGCTCCTGCTGGTAACCCCTCCGTAGCACAAGAGCATATTCACGCTGATTCACCTGCCAATGCCACTCTCCAACCATCTGCACCTGAAGCAGTGCCAGCTTCAGGCATGCCCCTTTGCAAACTCCTTGCAAGCTTCAGCGCTGCCATGGAGCACAACCGGCAGATTCTGGAGCGGCATCAACAGCGCCTGCTGAACCACACCCGGGAGTCTGGTCACTGGGAAGATGGCCGGCCGGTCAACTTCAAGAGGAGTCGCGAGGGAGAAAATGGGTTTCGCTACATGGAGCGTGATAAGGAGCATGTATCGAGTATGCAATCATGGTGCATGCATGGATCTGAGGCCGAGAGCCACAAAAAGGCCGGAGAGAGCGTTGCAGCTGGTGGGGCTGATGCTGCTGTGCTCAGACAAGCAAGTCAATGCTCCGGAGTTACCAACGGGGATCAGTCCATGGTTGGACTCTTCGGTAGGGCATCAGGGACCACTCCTGAAGGCTCGCATCCTGAGTAATATTTCAGCCTGTGATCAGCTCGTAGTTGACTGAAGCTCATGTATGCTTGTCGAATCCTGAGGCAACTCAACCATTCAGGAGGTGCCATGATGGATGCGAAAAGTATGTAGTAAAAAAACACCCAAGGAAACGATTGTGTTGTGTAGGAAGACTTGAATGGGCACGACATTGCCTTATTTTATGGGATACCGTATGACGGGTGTCTTCACTGCTGGGTCCTCTGAATCCAGTTGCAGAGGAAATAGGCGCACACCAGAAGGGGTCACAACCCAACAGGGTCCTCAAACGGGGCTCATTATTCTCAAGTATCTTACCAGTTTCCTTTCTCATCCCTAGGGGATTAGGAACCCATGGAGGGGTTGGGTTGCCATGCCAGGCATCATTCTCCTCTTCCGTGGTCCAGAGTCTAGGCAAGCAGGGCCCGTGCTAGGATTTGGGGCACCCTGAGGCCTCAGGGCACCTTTCCGGAATCGTAATAAATGCCCTGATTTGTCAGGGCAAATTTTCGAAGCCTTCCTGTATGTTCAGGTCTTTTTCAGAAATCAATCCTGACCTGTCAGGGCAAAAAACCCTGTGTTCAGGGTTCAGATTGGTTGGTTGACAGATTGAAGAACGGGGTGGGTCCGATCCCAGGACCTTATCTATCGAAAGTATCTTTCTACTGACTAGGCCACTTCTGGCATTGGATGGATGAATAAGTTTTTCAAGGTCGTTTTGCGCACGGAGACAAAAATCCCCGCGGAAAATTTCCCCAGGTACGGGACTCCCTTCCCTCCCCCAACAAAAAACGCGTCAGGGCAGGCCTCTGCATTCATCCTGACGCTACAGGGAAGAACACTACAGCCATTCTGAATGTTCAGGGCATTTCATATAACAACATCCTGAGACCTCAGGGTAAAAATTTACACTATTCTGAAATGACAGGGTAAATTCAAAACTGCATCCTGAATTCAGGGTAATCAGGATGTTTTGCCCTGATAACGTGGGGCCTGTAGGCAAGTTATGGTCATGGCAGAAACCAGTCCCATCCGCGCCACTTGCACCTCCTAATCCGCCTGCCCCGCCAGCGCCACCCTCCCCCTCCTCCAGCTCCTTTCGCCCGCCCGCGCCTTTGAGCCCTGCAATCTTCTTAAACAGCAACCCTTTCTCAGTCGACTCCTCCTTGCCCTCTCACTTGGGAAAATCTCAGGAGGGTGATGGCGAGTGCGAGGAAGTGGCCGCAGTGGGGCAACGTGGATGGCTGTCCGTTGGACGATTCCACAGTCATCGACGAAGATGATGTTAAATACCACTGGGCGGCGAAGACAACGACTTCCAACACATGCCGATTCCTACGTTTCCAACACCTAACAAGATTCGACCCCACCCTTCTCGCCAAAATCGTGGCTCCCGTCCCCTTTCCCCATGAGTCGGCCGACGAAGAAGAATCTGCATGCCTACACCGTTCAGGAGAAGTTCATGTGGCTGGTGAGGCTAGAGGTGGTGAAGGACGTGAGCAAAGTGTCGCGTGAGCAGAAATCCCGCACAGTAAATCGCTGCACAGAAAAAACGGCGGGGCCGACCTTACGGGGCAGCGGGTTGCCGTAAACGTCTTCAAGGACATGGAGCAACAATTGTACAGTAGCTGCTCACTGAACGAACTAAGGGACTAGCCATGTCGGTATGGCGGTTCCAGCAGTGGTCGCGAGAATTGATGAAGCAGGTGCACCTCAGCCCCTTCTTTGAACCCCTCCCCCCCAACGCTCTTGCGTTTCTGTCCTGAAGCCCATACCACCCTGTTCCTCCTCCCCTTTCTGCCGTGGACTCCTCCCTTGCTACAATGTCTTGTGTTGTTTTACCTTGCATCTGCTGATCTGTTTGCCCTTTGCTCCTCACTTTCTGGTGGTTACACTTGTCGATCTCCTTCTCCAAGTAATATACTTTCCCATCTGCTCACACTGTTTGTAATGGCCTTGAATCATAATGCTAAGGATTTAACAACAACATGCAGTAAAACACAACATACAAACAGTGGCCATCCTATGCTCTTTCCCCCTATTACTACTTTCCTACCCTTGGCTTAAGGCTGCCCGAAACTACCCCCTCTTTTCCTTTTGCTGCTTGGCTTGAGCCTGCTGCTTGCGGGTTGCAAGGAAACAATATATCACACCAGATCACCTCTCCTCGTAGGTCACACCACCGAGTCACATTGCTCACTTATCACCCACCCATATTACTGCCTGCACCCTATTGATATAAACTACTGCTCACTTGTCAAGAATCTACTGTGACCAAAGGAGTGTGCCACAGGTGTAAAGGTTCTCAGAGGTGGTTCAATAGATTCTGTTGACACTGGAATCTCTCAATGCAAGCCAAAACAAACTTGGGTAAGAATATGTATGACTGTGGGTATCAACCCCTGTGACCCTCTTGAATTCTAGCCTGTTCCTGGGAAAACATTGATATTTGTTTGCTTGCTCTACCTGAACACTGTATTTCACTTGTTTGTCATTGACATCGATGTGTTGTATCTTACTAGTAAAAAACTCTTCACCTTTTGTCTTCATGGATTGGAGAATGTGAAGAACAGGGTCTCAATTTCTAAAGATTCGTGCCCAACACCTCAAAGGTGTACAACATTGAGAATCGTTAGATAATCAACGCCGGCCGAACTTCACTTTAGCTTGAGATGTCGGCAGCTCAAACCGTGGAGGAGATATGGATGTAGTCAGCTCCTATCCGTAGCAGTGGATACCAGAAAAAAACAGATGACGGCAATGATCCCGTGCACCGCCGCTAGAGAGAAGTTGAAGCGTTGGGTGTTTCAAACGGGCGTGACCACCACAAGGCGACTTTTCTTCAGGTGAGTGCCTAAGGGTACATTCCTATCTTGACATTTGTGTCACAATCCCAAGGTACCGCTCTATACCGAATTGAACCCAAGTTCGAAATTTTTAACAAAGCGGTTTGATTCGGTAGAGCGGATTGTGACACAAATGTCAAGACAGGTATGTACCCTAGTTGTAAGATAACGAGCTATGATTACTCAAACCGGTTGCCTAAATGTATATGCCTCATTGCCTCTTGTGCCTTGCTTGCAATTGTTCTCGCCAGTGCTCAATCCAACCGCTGTTGACAAGAGTTGGCCCTGCCCTCGCTTGGGCGAAGCCGACTTAATGGTCGGGTGCGTGGGAGGTGCAACCAACTGCATGCAGTGGTCGACATCAACTTGGGCAAGCAAGTCGATGGACTTGGTCGACTTGCACGGCACCACTGCAAAGCCGCGAACTACGGGAAGTCAACGGCCGACACTGAGTGATGTGGTCGACGAAGGGGTTAGTTGATAAGCAAGGACGCCAACTTCGTGAATTCGGTGGGTGGTGTCGACCTGGGTGGCCGACGAGCATGTGCATGCGAGCTCCTACCGCCGAACGGGTTGGTGTCGACTTGCGGGCGCCGACCTGAGGGCGCCGGGGACAGTCCACGGTCAACAATGAAGTGTGTTGGGTATGCAGACGTCGCCAAGGAGGTTTTGGCGAAGCCTGTTGGAAACAATCGGTCTTAAGCGCCTCTGTCGTGTCGAAACACCAAAGCACAAGCGAAGCAAAGCATATCGAGGCACCAGCGAGTCAACCCTCGGAGGTTGAAGTAACTGCTGGAGGTTACGCGAAAGTCAAAGGTCAGCGACCTTTGACCTGACAAGTACAGCGCGACAGCAAGGACACACAACTGACTCGCTACAGAGCAGTTGCCCGAGTCGTCTCTGTATCGAACCGCAACAGCAACAGTAAAAGTAGTTACAACCGTATCTCTTCGTATTCCTTGTACTCTTATATATATAATCTTGTATCTCTTTGTTTTAATCAACTTACTTTGCCCTCACATACTAGCGCAAGGTGGTTCACAATCTTTCATTAAAACGCTTCCGCTATTACAGTCCTACCCAGAGTTCATCCCTGTAAAGATCCTAAGGGCTTTTCTCAGCCCATCATGGTATGAGAGCAGTCAGGGAGAATTCAACTTCTACAAAAATACCGACAACATCAACAGGCATGGCTACACAAAAAGAAAGGAGCACCTCCAACGGCTCCCAGGGCACTACTCCTACTCCACCTCCTGCCTCTGGCCTACAGACAGAGGAGGGCACAGCAACAAGACCCAGGGCAACATCCACCGAGACTCCTACGAATCAACCTGCAGACTTCGACCAGAGCATGATGGAGAAATTTTTCTCCTTCATGTCCTTCTACCAGCAACACCAGCAATCGGCACCTGCGCAGTCACACAACAGTAACAACAACGGAGCAACTCCCATGAGTCTCAACGGCTCATCATACGCACGAGGAAATCAACAGCAGCAGCCTACCTTTGCTCCGTACGAGCGCGGGTCCATCAGCTTTATGCCACACCCGCAGCCTTCACCTGGACAAGAAAAGTCACTGGACGCACTACAACTTCAGTCGCAGTTCGCGCACGTTCGGAAGATGCAGACGTCAAGGCCTTTCGATGGAAAGGATTTCTTCACCTGGTCGTTTGAATTCGAATTAATGATGGAAGGCGCGCAGATACTTGGCTTCTTCGACGGGTCCCTGCCATATCCAACGAACGGCACACAGTATGAGAAGCAGCAGTACACCTATCAGTCGTTGATGGCGTACACGATTCTATTGAGGAACATCACCTCAACTCAACAGCAGAACATACGGTCTTACCGGGGTTACGGCAACTCCGCGGAGCTCGCGTACAACCACTTGAAGAGCCTGTATCAAGCAACAGACAGCGTAAATCAAAGTCGGTTAATGGCGCAACTGACAACGGTCGAAATGAAACCAGCTTATATCAGTCGATGTCGCGAGTTGCGCGACAAGCTTCTGCGATGCGGGGGGCCGATTTCTGAAGACGCCTTCGTGACAGTTATCATTGGCGGCCTCGGTCCTCAATGGCGCGCCACAAAGGCCATTCTCCGAGCCCACGGAAGAATCTCCGAAGCAGCACTCTGCGCCGAAATCCATGCCGAGCA